CACACACACCCGCGCACCACACACACCATATAGTATATATATATATATAATCGTAGCACGGCAGCCAATCATAACATGTATTCTGGGAGCGTAATGCAAGGCTTAATTGTATTTATATGTAGGCATTCATCCGTTTCGCAATTAATTACTCTATCAGTAATATCATGATCTTCAGTCTTACCGCTGCGAGGATGCCATGAATGTGCGTCATATACGTAGGAGGAACGTGGTTGCACTGGATATTCGCGAATACCTCGATTTCGACGGTCAAAGAGACTGACATGTCACGTCGACATCATTTTCATTTCTTTTTAATGAGCAACTAATTGAATTCACGGTGTGTGTCAGGGCGCTAGTCCGTGCTTCTTGGGTGCTACCGCATGAAAGAGACGAAACGCTTGCTTCCGTCACTCCTGAGCGGCCATCCGCGCAGTGCATGACCAGCAGTTGAATGATTAGTACTCTTGTGACGTGAAGTTCTTACAGACGACGAACGTTGCGGTGAGAAATATCACAAGAGCGCTGAAAGAAGACAGGATAAGTAAGTGGCAGCCGAGAGAGAGAGAGAGAGAGGGAGAAGAAAGAGAAAAAATAGAGGGATGGAGAGGGAGGGAGAGAGATAAAACGAAGAGAAAGAGTGATAGACAAATAGATTGATAGGATAGATAGATAGATAGATAGATAGATAGATAGATAGATAGATAGATAGATAGATAGATAGATAGATAGATAGATAGATAGAGAAAGAGAGAGGGGGGAGAGAGAAACTGCGAGAGAGAGAGAGAGAGAGAGAGTGATAGAGATTATCTATATAAGGCTCTGTTCAGTACCCAACCACCATGCTGTCATCGTTTCGGTCACTTTAGTGTGGCGCGCGCTCTAGCGACCACGCCAGAGAAAACATTTTGCTTGCATGAGCGGTACTAGCGTTGGCTGCTCGCTTTATCGGCAACGTAGCACGCATCGCGAAACGTTTTACATGATTAATCTCGTCAAGAATCTCATACGTAATTTCCCATTATATATGTACTCTTGATATATGTACTCTGGATATATGTATACTCTTATATATATGTACTCTTGATCTCATGCATGATAGCGGATCGCGCGAGTACGTATACATGTAGCTAGCGCGAAGTGCAATTGTCCATTCTTAAAAAATGTCCCGTTTTGACTAGTCTTCGATTTGAAACTAATAATTAGGGCGTGCTGTCGTGATAATTTGTCGTTGTCGCCATCGTCTTTGTCGTCGTTCGTCATCGTCATCGTCGCTCTCGCTGTTATTGTAATGTCGTCGGCATCATCGATCTGAATGCACGCAACTTATGCGAGCTCAAAGAAGAGCGCCATCTTGCTGCATGTTGGTAATTATAATATAGTTGCGTAATAAGTAAGCAAACACGTCACGCTATGTTCGTGGTGGCGCCAGTCGGCACGCCCTTAGATGTATTCCCGGAAGATACACGGCAAGACATCGACCACCCAGCAAGATCAATTCCTCCAGGCATCAGTGTCAGGTTAATGACCACGAATCTAATATAAATTCAGCTTAATTATAATACATAAAATATCGTAGTAAAGGCCTATATTTTTATATAATTATTAACAATTATTTCATGAAATTTAATTAGTACTTATTTTTAATATTATAATGTGTAAAACTCAATCCAATATTATATCTCGATAAAGTCTTCTGTTGAGGCGGTCGGAAGGCGAAGAATCCCGCGGTGCAGCAACATGGCTATTGCGCATGCGCGGCATGCGCCCGCAGCAGACGCCGTTCTGACATTCTTGGCACTGGTAGAATTCACACGTGTTTTATCGCTAGATGGTGTGAGTTCTCCGATGCCTTCAGTGCAGACGGTCAAATCAACATTGTACACCAACAGCTTAGAACGGCACGGTATGAAACTGAATCAAACGGAACGGTTTGAAATGAAATGATTCAGCACTGCACAGAACGGAATAGAATCGAACAGAACGGTTCGGAACGAAACCGCATGGAATCGTGCGATACGGCGCAGTATGGAATGAAACAAAATAAAACGAACTACATTACAGCACAGCAAAGTATGGAACACAAGGGAGTGGCTCGACACGGAACAGAACAGAACAGCACAACACGGAAAGAAAGTAACCATGAAATCTTCAAATACGTTAAAAGGTCGATGATTATAGAGATCCTGCATCTGTCTCATTTATGGCCTTCATCTATTATTCTTGAAAATAAATACACAAACGCGCGCGCGCACACACACACACACACACACACACACACACACACA